AGAGACTCGTCTCAAAACGAAAGAAAAAGTATGTCTATGAACTCTAGTGTGTTCAAAAATGCACAGAAATGAATTTTCAACTGGGTTCCCGTTCCTAGGAGCCCGGAACCCGGTGCGGGTTCCCGTTCCTAGGAACCCGGAACTCGGTGCGGGTTCCCGTTCCCAGGAACGGAACCCGAAACTGACACCCCTAGTTTGAATGAGTTCGATCTAACATTACTATTGGTAATGTTATAAACATTTTTTGTTTTAATATCATGTTTATGTTCAGTGATTTGTTATTCATAAGAGATTTTTAAAGCAATGTAATTTTTATGAAATCTTTATCATTATATTAAAAAAAAATATGTGCGAATTATGTAAAAATACATAGGACATTGATCAAGAATAAATAGATAAAATTGCAGCTAAAACGTTCTTTACTTCAATATAAGTGAATTTTCGACGGATTTGTTGTTTCTCGTCATCATCAAACTACATTCAAATTCAATGCAACATTAATCAATAACTAATACTCATAATCTATATTTGTTTCAAAGACAGATGTTCAACATAATACTGCAAAAGAATTTAATCATAATTAAATAAATGGTATATTTGAGGGCGTTGAATTTAATCTAACGATTACAAGAAATAATAAATCTATCGAAAATTAATTTATATTGAAATAATAAACTTTTTTAGTTGCAATTTTAGTTTTTTTATTCTTGATTTTACATATATACCCTTTTTTTTTAATTATAATTATGAATTTGATGTTTTTAACGAAAAACTATGTAAATTTTTTTATTATAAAAATCAATTAAATAGATTTCTTTTTGACAAATTAATGGTCGATCTATAAAGAATTATACTGTTAGTAATTTTGAATTTTTTCTTCTATGATTCCCTTGATTGACTCACATTTTTTTTGTAAATCAAAAGATAGTGTTTAAAATTCTGCACAAAATGATTTAATTTGTTTTACGAATATAGGTTTCGCCATTTTTTTTTGGATTAAACGTTATCGTACAGTAAAATTTGTTCTTTTTCAAGTATTTTGAGAGAGCGTATTATTTCGTCTAATGATGCTGTCTTTGTTGTTACCCTCGTCCTAATTCATAGCTCCAGCTAGTTTATTCTATAAACTAATTACAATGCGCAGAACGACAGAGCGTGACCTGTGAACAGGGAAGAGGCTGACAAGAAAGGTGCTGTTTGTGTAAAAACAAAAGTTTGGGTTAAGATTATGATGTGGTTAGGTGTATATGGGCAAAGACTGACAATGCCGGTGATTCTGGAAGATAGAACAATAGATGTAGAAAGATATATCAATAATGTTCTCCTAGTAGCTCTACAATCTGCCAACAATATGTTAAGAAACAACTGGACGTATCAGCAAGACAACGAAAAACCTCACACAGATTACATGAGCCAAAACTGCTATACTGATCATTTTCCCACACTCATTCTGAAGAACTGTTGGCCATCAAATTCTTCTGCTCAATCTTCATTAGATTACAGTTTGTAAAATGAACTAGCTGAAGCTATAAATTGAGACGAGGGTAACAACAAAGACAGCATCGTTAGACGAAATAATACGCTCTCTCAAAACACTTAAATAAGAAAAAATTTTACTGTACGATTACGTTTAATCCAAAAACAATGCAAGAAACCATATTCGTTAAACAAATTAAATTATTTCGTGCACAATTTCAAGCACTATCTTTTGATTAAAAGAAAGTGTTTCAATCAAGGGAATAATAGAAGAGAAAATTCAAAAATATTAACACTGTAATTCTACCGTTTATTCTGCATAGCTCTACTAGATAAAATCACTAGTATCAATGCCAATCGAAGTTTGCAATTTGAATGAAGTATTGCAACTCATTTTATGAGTTTAAAATGAAAATAATTACTTGATTTCCAAGCTTAATAGATAAAGTCAATTTGTCAAAAACTAAAGAAACTTTAAGTGATATATTTAGATGGTCAGCATAACCAACAAATAGAACACGAATTTTGAGAGATATTATACACCGATGTGAATTCCATAAAAAACTTCTCAATGTTTTCAGGATCATTTTTTTTATAGATTACATGATTCAATCTTCAATATTAGTTACGTCAAATAAATATGCCGACAGATATCAATATAGTTCCTTGTCAAAACAAATTCATCTATTACTCTTATTTCCTACAATGTCTTTATTATTCATTATGAAAATATAATAATTAATTGAGATGAATAAGCTATATGAATAAAGGATGAGCACCCAGGGTTATCTCGGGGTCGCTTGGTTTGAGGGAGAGAATCAACAATTCAGAAGGTTGATTGGAAGATATTACCTAGAGTTGATCGAATTTTGTAGATTGTTGAATAAAAAAGAACAATAAAACACTGGAACTTCGTTGGAGAAAAACGAAAATATTTCAAGATTGAGGAAGGACATCCTTGAGTATACCGATTGGGTGTGGGTCCGAGTGTGGGATATGGCTTTTCGTGTGTTGTTTTTCTATGTTTCCAAATCCACACCCACGCCCTAGGTGTATATTGATAGATACTTGATTGTTCACATAATACTCATTAACCATCATATATCATTTATTTTCAAAATACGTAACATGCACTCATACCTATTATTGATTAGTTTCTTTTTCGGATTAAATACTGGAATAAAAGTATTGTTAATGTGAACACAATTCCTTGAGAAATGCATTTTATTACTTTTCATTGCATTCGTAATAATTATCATATTCAGAGAATTAGTAATGGTTTTTTTGTGCTAAAGATTTATTATTAGTGAATGAGATACAAATGTTCTTTGAATAGAAAAAGGAAATAATGGACGTCATCTTGATAAAAACAAAAGATTCGTGTTTGGATCATTTTTAACATTTGTTATTTTCATTCATTTAACTTTAGATAATGTCTATCAATAGAAGTTTGAAAGAAAAAAACCAACAGTTATCTTGTCGTTCTCATTAAACCTATCGAAATAGAATATAATGTGTAATCGAAGTTCAAAATCGACTGCTTTCTTTCATATAAAAGACAAATTATTTCTACTTACTAATGACGAAATATGATGTTGATATACAAGATTAAAAATGCGACAAAAAAAGGAATAGCTTTCATATTCTGATGAATATAAAACATCTTCATAATTGATTGAAATTTCACACGAACAATCTTATTCGTTGTCTAATTCAAGTAATACAAGTTAACATTCTATTCATTATAGGTAAAGAGAGGAGAGAGAATTACTAAGCACAAGAAAAATATGTCATATTATGCTCATTCTACAAATCATCAACTAAAGGATTTTTGCGGAATTTTACTTTCTAATTGCTACTAGTCGCTATTAGTTCGAAATAAAATCTATTAAATGTTATTCATATATTTACGTATCTTTAAAAACTAGGAATAAACGATTATATACTTTCATTTAATTATGAGTACACAAATTTGATATTATCCTGATCTTGATAATCTATCTTGTACTTTACTTGGAACGAAAATAATAAGACAAACGATGATACACTTCAAAATTATTTTGAGCTATGATGAAACACAGAAATAATCATGAAACTGACAGATCTTTGATGCATGTATGCCAAACAATGGGCCATTGTTATACAATCTAATCAACAATTTTCATTTCTTTAAATGAATTCAATTATAGTACGACAAGTAATTTATATATAGACTTTGTTAATGCTCTTATACACGTACAGAATGAAAGAAAAAAAAACAAAATCTTTTCTTGATGTAATGAGTAGGAATTCAATAAATACACATTTTTAAAACTATGTAACTACGCATAAATGTTATATTGTAATCATTTTTACTATAACTTTCAAAATGAATGAGGATGATTTGCTATAAATTAATATAACTGAAAAGAAAATGAATGATTGAAGAAAAAAAAAAGTGAAAAAGAAATCGGAGAAGGCCTTCATTAATAACCAAAAACTAGATTGTGTTCTATATAGTAGAATGATTTTATTTATTTCATAGCATTTTAATAAAAATCGAATTTGATTTAATTAATCGTACGATGGTTTTTTGTTTTCTACTGAATATGATGAACATGCTCACCATAATCATCATAGGTTTTCTCCGTCTCTTTCTATTTATTAATCTATTATTTAATCTATCTTGACGATTTGAACTGAAAGTAATATCGAAGAAAAAAAAGTTTTTTTTTTTTTTTTTGATAATTAATATTTTGTACAACAGTTATCTTGAATATTATATATTCGTCATAAAAATGAGTCTGGTTTTTTTTCTACGTTTTCAAAAAAAAAAAGAGAGCATCGAGTATGCTCATAAAAATATCTGCGGAATTCAAAACAAATTGAAGTATATGCAGAAATGAAAGAGAACACAAACGTTTAACATTCGCTTTGACGAGAAGAAGAGAAACAATTGTTGAAGTCTATCGATTTTATTCCCTGATTACGCAGTTCTTGTATTCTTTCTTTTTTTTTTCACCTTTTTCTTTTCTAAAACATTGTATTAGTACTCAATTGCTCTTCTATATATAAAGAGACGACAAACAAATTTATTACATAAAAAAGTCATTTTTCTTTTACATCACACAAACAAACATTTTATTCATTTTTTGCACTCTCATCTCACAATAAAATGTCAGCGACAGCCGGTAATACCGATTCTGGATTAAGTGGACAACCTAGTGGTGATATTGACAAACAAAAAGGTCCTGCAAGTGGTAGCAATGCTGAATCAGCAGGTGGTACTCTTGGTACAGCAACAACATCTGTAAAAGGTGAAAGTTCCTCATCAAATCAAGAATTGCCTGGTCAAAGTGGCTTAAAAGAAAATAAAGGTGATAAGGCTTAACACCAAAGTTGCAGCAGTACTTCTCAATAAACCATTCTGCCATTTATATACGAACATTTGAGTTTTATGATTAATTTCGTGTGTATGTAGTTAGGAAAGCAAAATAATTCTTTAATAAAAATATACACATATACAAGCATTTGTTTCATAGTCAGCGAATATTAGAATTCGGAATAGGTTGGGCTAAACCTATCAAAATCGATCTATGGGTTTCCGAATTTCGATTCAATCCATCCATTATTTTCCCTTCGAAATTTGCGTAAACTTAACCATACATTGCCTGCAAAAGTGGAGAACAAGGCAAGGGCATTTGTTGAATAAAAAACAATATTTTTTAACGCAAATAGACAAATAAATTGTTATTAACAATGTACTAACAAAATGTCTACATGTCATCACAAGACCAGCAAATTTCAGTGAATGAACTAAATTAGTAACATGTTTGAATCAATCGAATTTGTCGATCTTGTGCCGACATATTAATATCTTATTTTGTCAATAAAGAATCAACGAAATGATCAAATGAGATGTTTCGAAGAGAGAAATTTTACAATAATCTACGCGATCCTTCTAGAGAATTTTGTGTTTCATTCAAGATTTTGTTCCGAAATTATCATCAATCTATGGGTCAAACTACCAACGACAAAACGACTGCAAATCGTATTTTTTGGTGTAACTTTTGATAGAAACAAGATAGAGAGCTGCGATTTTCACTATTGGAAAGAGGAGATGAAGACGCATCGAGTCATATGTTATAGACCTTTTGACCTGGTTTTTCTAAGGTTTTCAATTGAGCTTTTTGAAAAACAACGTTCTTAATAGGTGATTATAGTGAATTTTCAATTATCTGATATGTATTGAAAGTGATAATTGAACATCTATAAAACTGTGCAAGGCTCAGATTCTTAGCTTCAATCATTTAGGAGTTATAGGTATTCTACTCGAAACTATAAGCCGATTTTTCTAGCAATTCTTGTAAAAAAAAGCATTTTTTTTCTTTTTTCTTTTTCATAAAAACTATTTTTCCGCTACCTTTTTTAGATGATCGATTTAAAAAGCCTCAGAAAACATATTTAAAGAAACTTATAATATACATTTCGATGCGTCTTCATCTCCTCTTTCCAACAGTGAAAACCGCAGCTCTCTATCTTGTTTCTATCAAAAGTTACACCAAAAAATACGATTTGCAGTCGTTTTGTCGTTGGTAGAAAGGTTGAAACCTATGTAAGAAAAAAAAATCTGACTTATATAGATTTTTTTCTGATTAAAAATCAATTAAAATTATACTATTATTATATAATTTTCAATCGATTTTATACAGCTATTGGATTTGAATTTATTTTAATCGATTATTAGAATTGAATTGATTTTAATTCATTGAAATGAATCTAAAAATAATCAATTAAAACCAATCAAATTTTAATGAAATGCAACTCTAAAATAGAAAAACATATTTCAATTGACTGAAACATAACATAATCGATTGTAATGTAAACTATCGGTATTTTGTTTTATTTGAATAATTTTAAAATTGAAATGCTTATCTTGAAATGTAACTTATGTGTTAAAGATCGATCAAGTATTATATTTACCGTTTATTGAGGCAATCTGTGCAAGAAAAAACAATCAAAAACTTGAGTTTCGGAAGTTAAAATAATAGAAAAGCGTGTTTTACGATCATTGCGGTTAAAACCGATAAAAAAAAGTAAATAATCGATTTAAATAGATGAAAGATCAACTAATCTGTTCAAAAGCAGATGAAAACAATGGTATTTTAATCGATTTTTAATAGGAGAAAAAGGATTGATGAACATCAGATTTTTTTCAATCTTTTTTTCTTTTACATAAATGATCCATAGGTGCCCATCGTAAAATCGGACTCTACTGAATGTATGATATTAGATACTCGCAAGGATACTCTGCTATCAGTATGGCATAGAAACATTCGGCTACTTCATGAATTTTTAGCACTTCACTACAAAATGTTTCTAAACGTTTAGTCTACTAACTTGTTGAAAAATTTTTCATTGAACACTGTAGATACTGGGTAGGTACCTAGCCAGTATCTATGTACTGAGATAATTCTCAGTAGAATATCCAACCAAGATCATTTGACATACTGATAACAGGGTAGTCGAAAAGTTACCCTGTTGACAACTAACCTTGTGCATGAGTACCTTGAACTAAGAACATTCACTAGGGGATCGATCTAGTATATTAGAAGCCTTGGTAAATATTTACACAATAAAAGTGCGAATTTCTTGTTCTCTTTTCGTTCAATGTACTTTGATCGTGAAATTGAACACAATCTAGTAGTGCCATCTGTTGATTATATTTTTCATTGTTGATACTTCTATCAAATAAAACTATTTTATCATTGACATGAAAAAGTCCCTTGTTGGAAAACGAAGGTTTTGTATACACGATACACATACACGTACAACACAGAATGAGGATAACTGGTTGATGTATAGTGTATAGGAATCAAATTAACGTACCATGAAATTTATATAATTAGATATTATTTATGTCTTGTCTTCCTTTCTTAAAAAGATAATATTTAATTAATTAAAAAACAAATAATGACAACATATTCACCGATTCAACCTCGTTCAGTTTTATGTAAACCGCTACTACCACCACCAACAACAAATAATATTCCATCATCATCTGTTTTTCTTGTACAATCATCAACAGTAACAAATACAAATTTTTATCAAACAAATACTGATTTAAATACGAATAATTTATCTCAAATTTCTGCTTTTCCTTCAATATCATTAACTCCTTATGAAGAATTTCTTAAACGTTTACGTGAATTTCATCGAAGTCGTCAGTAAGTATCATTGATTGACAAAAAAAAGAAAAAGAAAAGTATTATTTTATTATTTATTTATTTATTTATTTCTAGAACAACATTTCGTTCTTTACCAACAATAGCTGGACAAGTTGTTGATTTACATTTATTATATAATACAGTTGTTAATTATGGTGGTTGGGATAAAGTCAATGATAGACAATTATGGTCAACTATTGCTAATAATTTTTCTATTGATTCATCATGTCTTAATGGTACACAAGCTTTAAAAAATATTTATATTCGGTAAAAAAATAATATTAAATCTTTCTATTTTATTTTATTTTATTTTTTTATTTAAAATAGATATTTATATTCTTTTGAAAAAATAAGTAATGGTGAAAATATCGATTCACGTGATGATGAAAATGAAGATTCAAAACGTCGTACAGTTTCTCAATTACAACGTGTACCACAATCATATAATTATACACAACATATTGTTTCCGGTAAAAAATAATGAAATTCTGCACCTATTATATTTCGTTTTGATTCAAAAAAAATCTAGAGATGAAAAGAAATTGAGTTCTACCAATTGATATAAAATCTCGCAAGAAAATATTCTTCAGTTAAAGAATTCCTTTTTGATGTCATATGCTACCTATGAGATGATCTTTGTTATGATACGAACTTCTTCATATAAACATAATCTATCTTTCATAATCAATTATATGAATTATTTCAAAACTTTGCATTAAGAGTTTCTGATAAAATTTTCTTATTCTTACTGATTTATTAATAGTATTAACTAATAAAAATGATGAGGAGTGTTAATAATGACTGCTTAAGATAAAACATGCCGAACTTTTACAAGAACTTTAGAACTTTTTATTCCTAATCGTTATCAAAGAGAGATTTACTTTTCAACAAATGTTCATTTGAATCATAGTTTCATCACTAAAATACTTTCTATTTCAACATACTTAAAGCATACTAAAAGTTCTTGCCATTACGTTTAAAGGATCTTTTCTGATAAGAGAACCTATTGAGAAATGAAAAATATCAAATAAACCATGTTGTCTTCAAAAAGCTCTACAACATCGGATATTTTCTTTTTTTCATTTCTCAATAGGTCTCCTTATCCGAAAAGATCCTTTAAATGCAGTGACCTGAATTTTTTGTATGCCCTAAGTAGAACTTCAAGAGTCTCAAATACTTGTTGACTCACAAGAGAATCTCTCTAGATATCAAATCGCTTTTCGATCAAGACAATATTCATTTGACGAATTAATAGAAAAGTCTAGAATGATTTGATTTTCTAGGCCTTTGTATTTGAGATACCAAAATTTTATTGAAATTTAAAAAAAAAAGCTGTAATCACTGTTGGATTTCGATTTCAAACTTTTCACGAACAAAATTTTTGATTGTGCAAGTTATAACTTTTCTAGTATCTTCTATCCTGAGATATCCGAAATTGTCTCATATATAAAAGCAAATTTTGTTCATTTCTAGAAAGAAAATACTAGAAAAGCTAAAACTTGCACAATCAACTCTTTTCACTAAGAGTTTGATTCGTGTAAAGTTTAAAATCAAAAATGATCTGAACTTACGAAAATCATTTTCTATTTAAAATAAAAAATTCTTTTTTTTTTGCGCTAGATCCATTACGTCTTCAATATGGTCTTTTTAATGATTTTGTACATCGAAATGAATATGAAAAATTAGAATTAGCATTATTATGTGGTTTTCCAAATGAATTAACATTTACATTAAATACATTATTACTTCTTTCATCATCAGCTAATCATGCAAAATCATTTCATTTATATAAATGTCCACGTTTATTAGATTTACTTTTTCGACATATTGGATTATTTTTATCATCAGATACATTAATTAATGATCATTATTTAAAATTTTTATATGATAATCTTTGGTCAAAACATTTTAATTATCATATGGATTTATTTTGGATTCAATCATGTTCACCAAAAATTCTTAAATTATTATTAAATATTGATATTGATAATAAAAAAAATAATCATTATAAAAATTTTAATCTTAATCTAAATGAAAATCAACATGAACAAGAATTTCGTATTGAACAAATATTAATGATAATACGTAATTTTTCATTTGATCGTATAAATGCACATTATTTATTAGATACAATACAATCAACATTATCAAGAACTTATATTTT